TTTCAGAGGCTGTCTAATTAAAATTAGTCTCAACTTNTGTTCTGTTTTTAATTAGCGTTTGATTTTAATATAGCCACTTTAGGAAGGGTCTAACGACAGCCCTCTTGACATTCATCCATTGATAACACCGCCAGCCAATCAGAGTTCACCGCTCTCCAACATTGGGATTTTGTGAGGTGAAAAAAAGGTGTGTTCAGTTGATAAACTTATCTAATGCTTCTCTATATACACCTTTTGTACAAAAGTTTGGTCTAATTTTAACTAGACGGTTTCAGAAGTCGAGTTGAGCTCATTCATGGTTCATGCAGTTCCTTGGATTATTTTGTTGAATTTACGATCATTACAGTTAACACAAGATATCAACCTTATATATTATAGCTATATACTGGAGCCAGTAAAGAAATATATTTTCCATACCTTTCATACAAGCACAGAAATAGTTGTTAATTCCATCAATACATAGACCGTCTTGTTGACAAGGATTGACTGTACATTCATCAATATTAACTTGACAATTTCTACCAGTAAACCCTGGTACACAGTAACAGATATAGTCGCTTTCTGTTATCTCCTGTAAAATTTTCAAATATTTTATTCATATACAGTATACAGTGGACTAATACCTGGCTCCGCCACTGACAATATACACAAAGATAAACAAGAGATAAGTCTTGCTAAAAAAAAAATTAATGCTGAAAATGTGTAACAGCACTGCAGACGATTTTGAAAAGCGAGCTTAAACTTTTTTTTTAAAAAAAAACAAAACTAGAGCCACACGTGGCACAGAGTGGGACTTTGCAAATGTAGCAAAATGCTAAAGACTCTGAAAAAATCAACCTTCTACGATAATTACATCACGCGCAAGAGCAGTCTAAAGTTGAGAAGAATTGTTTGTAAGATTGTTATAACGGAAGTAAACAGCCCTCACAAATGAAAGTATAAGAAGATAGCCAAGGTCAATGACATTTGACATTGAAAGGGAGACGGTCAACAAAGGTCAAGGTTACGAGATACAAGTCATCCAAATTTTTAATTATATACGGCTATAAAACCGGAAGTTGAGATAGGACAGCAAATATAAAAGTATAAATAGATAGCCAATGTGAATGACCTTTGATCCTACAAAAATCAGGGTCAAAAAAGGTCAAGGTCAAAAATTGAAAATTTTGAATTTTCAAAACCTGTTCCTTTTTTTGAACTATAAAGCTGAAACAATCGAACTTCTAAGACAACGTGGCTCAACGAATGAAGTAATTGTATGCAAAGTTCCATTTTGAACAAATGTAAACGTTGCGAGTTATGTCCCTTGCCAAAATTGTCAATAATGAGTAATTTAACCCGGATGTGCTACGCCCACCTCAATTTCTTTTGCATAGGTTAATTGATATTCTGAATGTTATGTTGTGTTCCAAATTTAAAGCTTCTACATCATACAGGTCAAAAGATATAGGTCAACAAGAGTCAATAAAGGTCAAAATAG